CGTCCGCATCCTTGTGGGCCTCAACCTTATCTAAGGAGATTAGGTTGGAGCCAAAGTAATGTCTAGCCTGAATGACCTGGCCAGCGTACTGACGCCTGGCGCGGACGCTGTCAGCAGCTCCTAGATTCATTAAATGGACCACATTAGCACAATCAGAATAACACAAGGCTGGGCCTTCAGTTTGCACAGCGGTCCAGGCCAGGGCCCCAAACTCGGCACCCTGGGGCGTCTGGGGCCACGGGGCCCACAGAGGACCTTTCAAAACCCCGAGACGCTCTCCCGAACACGAGACCATGACCACAGCCCAGCCAGCCCTAGAAAGTTCACGCACAACGTGTTGATGGCACGAGCCATCCATAAAGAGGTGCCCCCAGAGCCCCACGGAGGGAGGGATAGAGGGAGCAGCAGCAAGGTCCCCAGGGCCAGGAAGCGCATCAACAAACCACTCCAAGCTGGTACCTCCTTCAGTGAGAGGCGGTGGGGCATAATCTCCAGGATGTTTGAAAGCACCATACAAGTACAGACACATGTCGACATGATCTGCACCTAGCTCCAACGCTTCGTTCTGAATACTTTTGTCTAGCACCGCTTCCCTCACTGACTGCACAGACGGGCACACGAGGAGCCTGTGGAAGAGGGTGTCGCGGTCCTTACCGCACAACGCGCACTTGTCTGAAAAGTCGTACCCTGCCGCTGCCACATCACTTGCGGTCCAGCAAGCTCTCGTGGCCTGAGCTCGGATCCAACCTTTGGTTTTGCTAGAGACCTTCTTGGAAGATAAGAGCTGCTTGACCACATCCCAACAAAGCCTGAAACCACAACCGTATTTATCTCCCGACTCCCGTTCAAGACCCCGAAAATGGGCTTCCTTACAGAACAATTTAACAAGCTTAGGGGACGACAGTGTCAAGGAGATTTCACGGCCAAAATCATCAACAAAGGTGCAAACATTGGGCATGGGCCAGCCCCGCCTGTACACGGTCATGCGCAGGGCAGAAATAGGCCCTGCCACTTTGGACCAAGAGTGGTCATCCGACCCAAAGACAGCGTTCCAGCCGTCCCTGAGTTCAGCCCAGCTCAACGTCCAGGGAAACCCGTGAGTGTGCAGGGTCCAGACCTCCTTGGCCCAGCGGATGACAGGCGCACAAGAGCCCCTCCACGTAGGGTCATCCGAGAGAAGACACAAGACGCTGAGGGATCTTCCCTGGGCTCTAGGTCTAACCGTCGACATGGCCATCCATCTGAGGTTAAGAAGCTCCCTGTCCGAAATCCCAAATAAGTCAGAGCCATACACAGCTCCAGCCAACGGACCCGCCGCGAAGACCTTCAGGCACTTGCGGCCGAGGGCCTGCTGGAGGCCCTTGAGTTTTTTGGTCTTCCTCAGCGCAGCCGCAGCTCTAGACTTTAATTTAGCCGAACGCCCTTTGGAACGAACAGGCCTGCCCGCAGTGAAATCAGAACCCAGATTGGTAACCCGAGAGCAGGCAGGTCCAACAAGAGGTCCCAGGGTCTCCGTGAGCTTTCTGGAAACATCTGGGGAGTTGCTGATCATCCCCACTTTGTCCATGGCCAGCTTGCACTCGAGCGTCGCCGTGATGGCACGGTGGAGCGCCTTGGCTCCCGCCGTGGGGCTGGCAACTACTACCTTAGCAGGTCCCGTACAGCTGAGACTAAGGTCATCAACGTAGGCGTCGAAGTCGGTCGTGACACCTGGGCCCTTAGGAATCGAAACGAGGGCCTCATCAAAGGCCTGCATGGCAAAAACACGGATGAGGCTGGTCGCGAAAGAGCAACCCGCCACTAAACCCTTGGAAACAAAATACGGGCCCTGGATGATGCCCCCAAAGGCCAGAAAAACGCGCACTCGAATACGCCCTGATGGCCAATCTCGCAAGAGGCAACGGGAAACGGAAATGCACGCACTGCTGCCAAAGGTACCTCAGGTCGATGTGCTCATAGTACTTCCTGGGATCCCAGAAAATGGAAGCCGACACTTCTCTTTTGCGGGTTCCCGCTTCGGCCCTGAACGCCTGCCTCCAGACAACGTCCCCCGCTCCCCTGTTAGCCCCAGCAGCCCAGTACTTCCTGGGGTAGGCGAGCTCCCACTGAAGGGCCTCCTGGCGACGGGCACGACCCCAAAGGCGGTACAGGCTCGGGAAAACACCGATGGGTCTGAACCCACCCGTCGGCTTGGCCAACAAGGCCATAAGAACCCACGAGAGCTGCTTGGGCAGCTCACCAGTGGCTTCCCAAACGGCAAACCACAGGGCCAGGGCATGCAAAGCCTCATCGGGGAGAAGGCTGAAATGGCGACAGTGGAAACCATCAACGCTCACAGCAGAGGAGGTACGGTACCTCTTGGACACAGCTCGGAGCTCGGCTGGCTCTAAAATTCGCCCATGGGGCAACAGGTCATGGTCCACGCCGATGCCTTTGCCAGTGCCCCAAATAGCAGCAAACTTGTCGCCTTCGGCCTGCAGTAAAGACATTGGGTCGCAAACTATGGTACCACATCTGGCTAAGGTGGTGGAGGGTTTCCAGGGTTCGGGATCTTTGATGGCCCTCTGAGCGTTGCGACCACCAGCATCGATACCCGTACGCACCCACTCTTGTCACTCAAGCCGCGAAGCATTCGCAGCGGTGACCTTAGCAGCAGCGACGGCTTGCGCAACCTGATCGATCAGGTCGTCCAGATCAGAGCCGAGCTCAGGATCCAGCACAGGTGAAAAGGCGCATCTAACTAAGGCCGCACTGGCCTTGAAGAGCGAGTGGAACTCAGAGCTCTCCTGCACCGCCACGGCCGTCGGAGGCTGGAGGATCGAGTTGAGCACCTGTCGTCCAGCCTCCTGCAAGACCGAATCCGAGGGATAGCACCTAACTGCTCGCAGCTGATTACACAGCCAGGAAATACACCGTCAACCAGGATCGTTTTCCCGCCCCGCTGGGCGGAGCACAGACTTCCAGTAAACCTGGGGCCGCTTCCCCCGAGTGCCCAAAACCTTGAGATCAGCCCCAAGGGGGTTGGCGAGGTCTTTTTCGGCCGCATCAGCCCAAAACTTGTATCCAATGCCCAAAAGCCTGCGCGCTTTTCCCGCGTCCCCGTGAGTGACCGCCCAAAACGCTTCTTCGGCCAAATCAAGCGCAGCACTCCAGTCACCAGACTTGGGCGCAGGACCAACAGGAGGGAGCACGGGCAACGGGGGGGGTTGGCGGAAGGCAAGAGCCTTAAGATCGCCCAGGGAGCTGTGAAAGCGAAGCGACACAGGGCGATGTGGAGTGATGCTGGAGTCGCCTTCAACAAAAACAGGCTGAGAGCCTCCGACACCACAAAGAAATCAAAACGGTCAGGAGGGCCCCTGCTGGGGAAGTGGGTGTGACCTTCTGGAACAATCGTACTGGCCCGAAGCTTTTTGCCAAAGTCAGAAGCTTCAATAACCCCGGGACCCATGTTCCAATCAGCCCCGACGATAAACTCACAACTCAAGGAGTCTAAAAATCCCCCGACAACCCTCAACACTTCTCTATTGGATTCAGAGAGACCTTCACTGTGAAAGAGGTAGAGGCTGCAGACGCAAAACGGAGCACACCCTGGTACATGAACCACGGTGGCAACAGCTCGACCAGGAACGAGAACAGTACTCCCAGCAGCTTCGAAAAGCCCTAGGCCATCTCGAACACAGACGCAAACTCCCGAAGATACTCCTCCTCCCTCACCAGGCAAGCCAGACGCCCACAGCGTTTTCCATCCCAGAAACTTTGACGACTTCGAAGCCTGGTCCAGAGCACTAGGATCTTTAAGCCGATGTTCCTGAGCAATAACC